CGGCCTTATTGCGCGTGTGACGTCAGTGGATCTACACTGACACGATTTCAACATACTCGTCAGCGATTTGACCGTCATTGGTTGATCCATTAACGGTCAAAAAAATTATACTGAAAAGGATTTTTTGGATCCAGAGTATATTTAATTTATATGCCACATTTACTTAGACTAAGTAGATCCGGAGCCGAATTTGACGAATAGGTACTCCAGCACAAAGCGGCAACGTCCCTTTCTTCGTGTGACAGAGAACACAGCAAGCTATTTCGTAAGAGTAACAAGGTAAGAAAGATAGCTTTCGCGGACCAAATATCCATTCTTGCATACTTAATATTATGAATTGCCGAATAGACATCGAAGGTTTGAAGTACCCGATGTAGACCACCAGATGCACCAACAGGAGCCCTGATAAACGATAGGAGATACCGACATGACCCCAATGCAAAAGTTTAGCTTGATGGGACGCCAATAGCGTCGAAGGCTTAGAGTACCTGACGTAGACCACCAGGTGCACCAACAGGAGCCCTGCTAAACTAAAAGAGATACAGACATGACTCAAAAGCAAAAGTTGTTCAGCTTGAGGGGACGCTTCTGCTGGAGAATAGATATCGAAGGTTTGAAGTACCTGATGTAGACCACCAGGTGCAACAACAGGAGCCCTGCTAAAGTATAGGAGATACAGATATGACTCCAAAGCAAAAGTTGTTTAGCTGAATGGGACATTTCCGCTAGCCAATAGCGTCGAAGGCTTTGAGTACCTGACGAAGTTTGCCAGGTGCACCAACAAGAGCCCTGCTAAACTGTAGGAGATACAGTATGACTCCAAAGCAAAAGTTGTTCAGCTTGATGGAACATTTCTGCTGGCGAATAGACATTGAAGGTTTGAAGTACCTGATGTACACCACCAGGTGCACCATCAGGAGCCTACCTAAACTATAGGAGATACAGATATGACTCCAAAGCAAAAAAAATATGGAACGTTTCTGCTGGCGAATAGACATCGAAGGTTTGAAGTACCTGATGTAGACTACCAGGTGCACCAACAGAAGCCCGCTGAACTATAGGAGATACAGATAAGACTTCAAAGCGAAAGTTGTTCAGCATAATGGGAAGCTTCTGCCAGTCAATAGCATCGAAAGTTTAGGGTACCTGATGTAGATCACCAGGTGCACCAACAGGAGCCCTGCTAAACTATAAGAGATACAGATATAACTCCAAGGTTAAAGTCGTTCAGCTTGATGAGACGCTTCTGCTGACGAATAGACATTAAAAAATCAAAGTACCTGATATGACTCAAAAGCAAAAGTTGTTCAGCTTGATGGGATGCTTTTGCCGGCGAATAGACATTGACGGTTTAAAGTACCTGATGATGACCACCAGGTGCAACCACAAAAGCCCTGCTAAACTATAAGAGATACAGATATGACTCCAAAGCAAAAGTTGTTCAGCTTGATAGGACGCTTCTGCTAACCTATAGCATCGAAGGTTTAGAGTACATGACGTAGACCTTCAGGTGCACCAACAGGAGCCCTGATAAACTATAGGAGATACGGATATGACTCCAAGGTAAAAGTTGTACAGCTTGACGAGACGCTTCAACTGGCGAATAGCGTCGAAGGTTTAAAGTGCCTGATGTAACCAACCAGGTGCACCAACAGAAGCTCTGCTAAACTGTAGAAGGTACAGTTATGACTCCAGATAAAAGTTGTTCAGCTTGATAAGACGATTGTGCTGGCGAATAATAGACATTGAAAGTTTGAAGTACCTGATGTAGACCACCAGGTGCACCAACAGGAGCCCTGCTAAACTATAGGAGGTACAGTATGACTCCAAAGCAAAAGTTGTTCAGCTTGATGGAACATTTCTGCTGGCGAATAGACATCGAAGGATTCACGTAGGGAAACACCGAGCTAGCTCTCTCCATAGCTCGCTGAGTGACTCCTAGTCTATTTAGGAGGCCGACAGTTAGAGACCACGTCTCGGCACCGTAGGTCATCACTGGCATGACACACTGTTCAAACACTTTCGTCTTGAGACACTTAGGAATTTTGGACGTGAAGACGCTGCGTAACTTCCCGAATGCTGCCCAGCCGAGCTGGATTCGCCGAGTGACCTCCTTCTCAAAGTTAGATCTTCCTTGTTTGTCCTAGATAGACGTATTTGTCCACCACTTCGAGTATCAAGTTCCCTACTGATATTGGGGTAGGCGCTACATGAGAGTTGGCCATGACTTTCGTCTTGTCCATATTCATCTTGAGTCCCACTTGTTGGGAAACCCGATTGAGGTCCTGTAGCATTTTGCTGAGGTCTTCGAATGACTCTGCCATGACCACGATATCGTCAGCAAACCGAAGGTGAATGATGTATTTGCCATTGATATTGATGCCAAGTTCTTCCCATTCCAGGAGCTTGAAGGCATCTTCCAACGCATTGGTGAAGAGCTTCGGAGATAGTACATCCCCTTGTCTTACAACCTTCTACAATGGAATAGCCGCCGTGGTCTGATCTTGTACTCGAACTGACATTGTGGCGTTTCTACATAAACACTTCAACACTTCGATATACCTGTAGTCAATGTGGCACCGCTGTAGAGCCTGCAGTACTGCCCATGTCTCGATAGAATCAAAGGCCTTCTCATAGTCTACAAACACTAAGCATAGTGGCAAATTGTACTCCTCGGTCTTCTGTACAATCTGCCGCAGCGTAAAAATGTGATCTATGGTACTGATCCCTTTTCGGACTAAACTATAGGAGATACAGATATGACTCAAAAGAAATAATCAGCTTGATGGAACGTTTCTGCTGGCGAATAGACATCGAAGGTTTGAAGTACATGATGTAGACCACCAGGAGCCCCGACAGGAGCCCTGCTAAACTATAGGAGATACAGATATGACTTCAAAGCGAAATGTTTAGCATAATGGGACGTTTCTGCCAGCCAATAGCATCGAAGGTTTAGAGTACCTGATGTAGATCACCAGGTATACCAACAGGAGCACTGCTAAACTATAGGAGATACAGATATGACTCCAAAGCAAACGTTGTTCAGCTTGACGAAACGTTTCTGCTGGCGAATAGTCATCGAAGGTTTGAAGTACTTGATGTGGACAACCAGGTGCACCAACAGGAGCCCTGCGTAACTATAGGAGATACAGTTATGACTTCAAGGTAAAAGTTATTTAGCTTGATGAGACGCTTCTGCTGGCGTATAGACATTGAAAATTTAGAGTACATGATGTAGACCACCAGGTGCACCAACAGGAGCCCTGCTAAACTATAGGATATACCGATATGACTCCAAAGTAAAAGCTATCCAGCTTGAAGCGACACTTCAACTGGCTAATAAACACCGAAGGTTTGGAGTACCTGATGTAGACCATAGGTTGCGGGTTCTATTTTCAACCAAAGAAAACATTAAGTCAATCATCTCCCTAGCGTTGGGGTTGGCTGCCTCATAATCTAGGGGTGGACTGCAAGGTCGATGGACCCCACAAGTCCTGGCTGGTGTCAGTGTTCGAAACTGTCATAAGGTCGCTGTCGTGGTTTTACACTAACGACCACCCCAAGCCGACCAGGCCCGACGGCTTAACGTGCCCTCGGTCCGAGCATGGGATCATCTTTTTTTTCGGAAATTTAAGTGATTCAGACTGCAATGTCCTAACCAAATTGTATAAATCTGGTAAACAACCACAAAGTTTTTTTTTTATAAAACGTGGTGTAAGGGACGGTGTACCGAAAACTTTGCTGGCGTGATCAGACTATGAATCTAAACAAATTTTACTATGGAACTAACTAACTTGGGTAACGAGAAAAAATATCCGATCTCCCATACAAAGTCAGTCCGCGGATCGCGAATTTTGTATACCATTGGCTCTATAGTAAAAGTTGTTCAGTTTCACGGTCTGATCATACCTGCAAAGTTTTCGGTACACCGTCCCTTACACCCTGTATACAGGGAGTAACAGAAAGGGTATAACAAGCCGAAAGGAGGTCAAGGTAGGTACTCATGAAACTGAACAACTTTCCCCATGGAACATGGATCGAAATATGAAAGAAAAAATATTGGGCCTGTCATACAAAATTGCCGATCAGCTAATTGATTTACTATACATACATACATACATACATACATAGATCACGCCTTTATCCCTTGTGGGGTAGGCAGAGCGTCAACGACCGTAAAAGTACGGTCGTTATCGCCACGTCTGACACATATTTGAGGGCCGTTTTAGCTATTGTCGTGTATCGCTATAGTGACAGGTTGTCAGCCTGTCGCCTAAAATTGCAATACACATGATACCCTCGAGTCCTTTAGTCGCTTCTTACGACACCCACAGGAAAGAAACGGGGTGATGCTATTCTAAGCCGGCATCACACGGCCTATTGTAAGCCGGCATCACACGGCCTTTTAAGCCGGCATCACACGGCCTATTCTAAGCCGGCATCACACGGCCTTATTTATTATGGACCAAATTTTTTACTATGGACCTATTGGCCTTGATTTACTATGGACCAAATTTTTTTTTCATATTTCGACCCATGTTCCATAGAGAAAGTTGTTCAGTTTCATGAGTACCTTGACCTCCTTTCGGCTTGTTACCCTTTCTGTTACTCCCGGTATAGCGGCCCGCCCAGCGCTGCTGCTACTTAGGTACCTGTTTTCTCGTAGAAATCGGATCTTTGCCTGTAGTGAAAAGTTGTTTTTGTACTTCGTAACAGCAGAAGTGACTCATTAGGACCATGTGCCAGCAAAAACGGCCCGTCATGCTGACTTCTTTTACTTTTTTGCCGATACCGTATCTCTTAAGGTTGAGATGGGATGCTGGTGGTCTGCATCAGGTACTCCAGCCCCATGATGACCATGTGCCAGCAAAAGCGGCCTGTCGTGCTAAATAACTTCTACTTTAAAGCCACTACCGTATCCTTGAATACCAAATTTTAAAACACTTCTCGTGTTAGGTAAACAATTTTTGGAAAACTTCCAAAATTTCATCGCAACTGGAACCGCGGTAGCCCAGTTGGTTAGGGCGTCGACAGTACTGATGCCGAAGGTCACAGGTTCAAATCCTGCCTGCGGTGAATTTTGGAAGTTTTCCAAAAATACCGTATCCTTACTTAATGCTCGGGTTCTGTGAAAACATAGTTCTATGCAACCGTGTCAAAAGTCATTGCAACCATGTCAGAGGTCTATGAAACCATGCCAGGAACTTATGTAACCATATTAGATGCCTCTGCAACCATGTCAGAGCCTATGAAACCATCTTCTTTTCGTGTGGGACACCAAGTCATTCAACGACCCGATAAACCCTGGTGTCAGAGTTTTTTTCAACCGCCTACTGCAAGTAGCAGGCCTCTGACATGGTTGTGTAACGACCGCCATCATAGACAGCAACCGGGACCGACGGCTTAACGTGCCCATCCGAAGCACGGAACCATCTTACTTGCGGACAATCAGGTGGTTCAGCCTGCAATGTCCTAACCAGACTGGACAAATTCACTAAGTGATAAATATCAACATTGTGAGTGACCCCACCGGGAATCGAACCCGGAACCTTTGCGTGGCAGGCAGGCATACTAACCACTGCGCCACATCGGCTGAAGTATGAAACCATGTCAGATGTCTTTGCAATCATGTCAGAGGACTCGCTACCATGTCAAAGGTCATTGAAACCATGTCAGGGGAGTCTGCAACCATGTCAGAAGACCCTAAAACTATGTCAGAGGACTCTGCAATCATATCAGAAGACTCTACAATTATGTCAGAGGTCTTTGCAATCATGTCAGAGGACTGGGCAACCATGTCAGAGGTCTCTGCGACCATGTCAGGATACCATGTCAGAGCAAATCGCAAGTCGCAAGTCAAAGTCAAAATCAAAGTCACTGTCAAAGTCACTGTCAAAGTCACTATCAAAGTCACTATCAAAGTCACTGTCAAAGACACTGTCAAAATCACTGTCAAAGTCACTGTCAAAGTCACTTTACAAGGTACTGGAAAAGTAACTGTCAAAGTCACTGTCAAAGTCACTGTCAGAGTCACCGTCAGAGACACTGTCAGAGTCACTGTCAAAGTCACTGTCAAAGTCACTGTAAAAGCCACTGTCAAATCCACTATCAAAGTTACTATCAAAGTCAAAGTTACAACCCGATGAATCCTTACGACCCGATGAATCCTTACGACCCGATGAACCCTTGCAACCCAAACAACCCTTATGATCCGTTGAATTATGTCAGAGCAACAACGCAAGTGATTGTGACTTTACACACAACAGCAAAATTCAATTCACCATGTCTTTTTTTTCTACTTCATAAGTGCTGACTTACAAATTTTTACAAGTTCATTAAGTGTCAAATCCCGCAAATGCCGCCAGGGGGAATGATGCCATCGACCGGTGGCAGAGTCAAATCAGGTAGTACCCCTGTTGAGCTCCTCCACTACAGGCAGCTCGCGATGGTAACGTTTCCAATCCGGTGGTTGCGCGTGGTAAAGCGCCAAATCCCGAATGTGCGGGATATCTGATGCGTCGGCACGTGCGAACATGTTAGTCGAGGGCCGAAAGATAAGCTTTAAGTTTGTGCGGCCAAATGTACGAAATGGCAACGTCGCGGCTGATTTCAGCCAATCCAATCATTACTGTGTTCTGATTGGCTCATTCAAATCGGATCAACATTTTCCAAAACTACTGCAGGGTGGATTCGTATATCGGATCAACATTTCCATAGACTTTATTTTAGTCCCCTTTTAGTCCTCTGAGTGCAGATGTTGATCCGATCGGAGCCACATTAGTTACCAGACATGCACATTGGATCAACTTAAGACGTCGGATCAACATGTGTTTTCGGATCAACAAATAACTCGCGTGAAGTCGCGCCTGATCAACATTTACCGTGAAGGTATCTCTATAAAATAGATACAAATATATACATACATACATACATACATATATATCAAGGGACTTGAGATAGATAGTGCTCTTTCAACCTTTTTTTGAAAGAGGATAAAGAGGGACAGTCTTGGACTGTCTTTGGAAGCTTGTTCCAGAGTTGTGTAGCTCGAACAGAGAAGGAGTTAAATAGGAATTTGGTATTGGCCCTAGGACACTCAAGTACCTTAGTGATACATGCGCGCCTAGGCCGGGGATCAGGAGGTAAGAAGTGAAAACGGGAGCGGAGATACTCAGGAGAGGATGGATCATTGAGGATCTTGTAGAGGACAGACAGGATGTGCACATCACGACGAAGGCGGATAGGGAGCCATTTTAATCGAGCGCGAAATTCGGAGACGTGGTCATATTTGCGAAGACCGAAAATAAATCGAATAGCTAAATTTTGTAGGCGCTCAAGCTTATTAAGCAGCTCCTCCGTCACATCCAAGTAACACACGTCAGCATAATCAAGAGTAGGAAGGAGAAGTGCTTGAGCAAGCATGACTTTAGTTTGAAAGGGAAGGAAAGTCTGGAGCCGTTTGAGAGAATGAAAGGAATAATGCATGCGCTTGCTAACTTCGTTAACCTGCGATGACCAGGATAGATCAGAGTCGAATATAACTCCCAGATTTTTAGCTTTGTTTGCATATGGGATACAAATATTATTGTAATATATGTTGAGAGCGTCACTAACTTCGAGGTTGCTTCTAAGTCTACTACTACCAATGATCATAGCCTGCGACTTGGTGGGGTTGACCAACAAGCCAAAGCTTTTTGCCCATGTCTGAATAGCTGAAAGATCCGAGTTAATGGCATCAATTGCTTCAGAGGCTTCTGAAAGTGTAAAATGCCTGTAGATTTGTAAATCATCTCATATTTTGGTAATGGATTAAAGATACCTAACTAGATTAAGTAATTTTACGCCAACCCTGTATTTTTGATTGGTAAAGTGACACATTCACAGTTATTCACCGATACAAACACAGGCGTCAAGGAAAGCGCAGGTACGTCTAGAATAATAAATCGCATCGCATTAAACTTATTGTTCCTTCAACATTTGTATGCAAGAACGTTACTCGTATAGTGCTGAGTGACTTCAGCTCCTAAGGCGAAAAACACACGCATCGTCCGTTAGTGCGTTATTTTTGCGCGGTGCTATCCGTTGCGTTTGAAAAATACGATTTTCCACCTTATTTTCTCACAAATACGGTTTATGTGAAACGGTTTGACAGACGCATTAATCATCGCATAAATATCGCACAACGCTGCGTTATTTGCCAGAAACCATACGACATATTTTTATGAGAATAAGGTCGACATTCGTAGTGTCCCACAACGCATGCGTTACGCAGCGCAAAAATAACGTCGAAACGGACGTTACGTGTGTAAAGCGTTTTACTGACCATGTTTGTCATCTTGGCTTGGCTATGTAGTTAGTTATGCGTTGCTGCAATGTTGCTTAGGCAGCTCTTTAAAAAGATGTGGCATCGATTTATCAGAGGGTCTCCATCACTGTTTTGATTACCTATAGGTAGGTACCCTAATTAAGTATTACTATTACCTACTGAAGAAAGAGAAGACAGAAAACCTTTTACGGCGTGATTACAAAAATGTTAGATGCGCGTTTAGACAATGTTTGAAATATTTAATTTTCACTCAATAAAGCATTGAATTATTATATGAATATATTTAAACGAATCCTGCCCATCCTAAGAAAACTAAAGCCAGGCAGAGTGTATGAAAGTGAAAGCCTCATAAAAGAAGTAGGTACCTGCCTAAACGTACAGCCCACATTGTAAACACTGTAGCAATGGGAAGTACAATCGTGGTAAATAATTCGAATGGCAGCGAAGCAAGCAATGCAATAGGGTTGTCGCCAGGTTCCGTTTAGCGGGCGGATATGACGTGGCGCCCAGCTCGGGCCCCGGATATTGCGCCGTGCACCTGCCCGCCCGACGCCCGGACTATCCGGCAGCCCGGACGCCCCGGACAACCGGCTGTCACGGACAAATCAAATGTTTCATACCGGGATCGTGAGTGTTTGCTTGCTGTAACCCAGTGGAGAGCTGAAAGGGCACATACAGCTTTTGATTGCGATCGTCAACTCATCGTAGATGCTACACATTTGCATATTTGCATGAGTTTATTCAATGCTTTCAGTCACAGTAGATACCTATGTATAGTTTGTAAAACAAATATTTCATACCATGCCATGGATCATGAGTGTTTGCATGCAGGAAGCTAGTGGAGAGCTTATTTTCTTTTTTGCTGCTGGACTCTACATTAATCGGTTCCGGGACCGCTAATAACTACACCTGACTACTTGATGGGGAGCGAGGGCTCACCCGGATGTGTTTGGGTGGTTGTTCAAACAACCAGCCCAATCACGCCCTTGGGGCGAGACTGGCCTTACGAGTTGTTCTGGGAAGAACGGATCGGACTATGTCTACCGGGTATATGCCGGTAGTTGCCAAAGAAGGGCACAAATGAGGAACCTAATTGGAGAGCTTAAAGGTCACCTAGGCTTTTGCGAATGTCAGCACACCACAGATGCTAAGTTTATTTGCATGAACTATATTTGACACCCTCAACTCAGATTTAGGGTAGTTTAACATAAACTATGATAAAAAGATAGTTATGTTAAGGTACGTACAGTACTCTCACGATCTAATTTCAGTCACAGAATAAAATAATCTAAGAACGCAAGTTTCTGCGTTGCATTATTCTGACAAATGTTGTATGCATTTGACAGATGCATGCATTAACGCAGCGCTAAAATAGTGTAGGAATAGACATTGAGTATGAGACTCGCCTAAAACACTATTCTGAAGTGGATGAGAATGGTTGATGGTTCTTGCTTGAAACAATTTTAATAACACAACTTTTTTCACACGGCGCGTTGTAGGTATCTCTGGCTCGTGTCACAAAATAGAGAATTTACAGAAGGCCAGCTCGCCCCTTCTTTCGATCACTTATGCCTACTCTTTAGGGTTGCTACTTTTACTTTCTGATTTTTTTTATAAAGTTACCTATCGTTTATAAGCCTGAATTAGGCATATGCAATTGATAAACTCCTAAAATTACCTGGCCGATGTGAAATATTTTTGACCATATGGAAGTAGGTACTTACCTGAGTAGAAAGTCATATTTCTATAA